AGAGAGAGAGAGATCTTATTATTACAAAGTCTAAACTCAAGACAGTGCCATTCATTCATAAATTTCAAAGCACTGTCCATTTTTAAAAGTGGGGAGACACGAGTACACACAAACAGTAGTTGAACTCACAGTGTTCATGGCACTTGGCCAGGGTCTCCAGGTCATCCACATGATAGTAGTCGTACCCTGAAGTGCCAAGAACCTCAAAGGGTAGGTAGCCTATGATGGGGGGTGCCCTGCAAAATACAACAATGCAACTTCACATCATCTGCATACATGCATTCAGTGGGGTCATTCTCAAAATATATCACAAATATGTGCACTGACTTTGAGTCAAGGAAAAGAATTCAAATGGTCGAGAAACTCTATATAAAATGCATTTTTCTATAATCTAACAGTTTGTTAAATAACATAATAACATTTCAACAATACAGAAAAAAATCCTACAAAATTATTTGATTTTGTCAAGTGTCTGAAAAAAACCCTTGTGCCCTTTATAACACTAATGACAATTATTGTTATTTATTTCATTTTTAATTTATTTTTTCTTCATTTGCTTCCCAGGTTAAGCATTAGTGCAAAGTCTAACAAGTGTGATAAAAGCAAAACAAAATACATTTGATTAATACCCTTCTTAATGAATAACCTAGATCCTTTGTCCATTGATATCTTGTCATTGGTGTTATCAAATGTTACAAACATGTTGAATTGTAAAAAGAAAAAGGAAAAAAGTATTTTCAAGGTCAACGCTCAGACCTGTTCAAATGTGCACATGGTGATTTTCCCACCACGTTGAAGTTAATAAAGTTATTAATTTACCTTTAAATGCATTTTCGTTGTGAAAGATTTTTATTTAAATTTTACAATTTAAGTTTTAAATGTTATAGTTTATTGATTTTTATTGAGTTATTGATTTTAGTCTGATTAAACTGACAACCAATTTAAAAAAAAGAATCACCATTGTCTTCAAGAAATAAAATAAAAAACAAAAGTTTTACTTTATGACTAGAAAGAATGTTTTTATAGTAGAAAACTAAACTGAACTGAATTCAAAACTTCTGCAACTGCTTCATTTTTAAATTCAGACCATCTATTATTTTAAACAATTTACAATTTTAAAATGACCCAGTGCCATTTTTTGAAAAAACTGAGTTCTTGGAACAGATTTTCAGGCATTCCTTGAGTCATATGAAAATGTTTTGGGATAAAAACAGCATAAAACGATCTGAAGTGCCACTTGCTTCTGCTAAACAACTGATAATGTGGAAAATCATTTGCTTTAATATCTAGCATCTGGGCCAATTAAACCGAATCCGTGATTCGAATTAAATATAGAGTAGCAGCAGCACCAGCAGCTATTCTTCTGAAACGACTCATCTAAATTTAGTAGAAACCTTTCCAAGCATAATGGCATTAAAGTTATGTTCATGTTATTCCAGATGTATAAGCCTTTGAGCCTGTGGGATGAACGTGAGCTATTTATTACTCGGAGACATGCTGTGCAAGCATGAACAACAAACATGTCTTCAAAAACTGAGAACAGTTTCGAGGGGAGCGTATTATGACCGTCACAGGCTCACACAGCCTGAAGTGCAGGACTTCCTTGAAAACCAAGTACTGTAAAGAAATGGCATTAAGACAGTGGTTCTCAGCCTTTTTGACTTCAAGGCTCCCTACGGTCCACAACTATGTTCTAGGGCACATGTGTCAAACTCCAATCCTAGAGGACCACTGTCCTGCAGAGTCTATCTCCAACTAGCCCCAAAACACCTGCCTGGACGTTTCTAGTAAACCTGAAGTTTGAAGCTAAATTCTACAGTACAGTGGCCCTCCTGGAACCGAATTTAACACCCCTGTTCTAGGGTCCCAAGACTTTTAAATTTTTTGCGATTAATTGATTAGGATTAGTTTTTTTGCCCCCTAGCTGGGAACCACTGCGCTTCAGGTTCAAATAGTCAAATAGTTCATTGTAGTGTCAATGCTAATCTGTCACCAACTCACCTGTGAATCAACCCTTGTGCTAAAAAATGGGGGTTTTAAACCTTGATGGTTACACACACGACTTAAAAACAAAACCACAATAAAAATAAAAAAAATAAAACATGCACCTTCGAGGTACCCACAAGATCAGTCACATCTTTTGCATACTTTCGGGGTAAAATGCACTGCCAAATGGACTGACAGGCATTTATGGTAAACTAAAATATATTTTAATGTTATTTCTATTGAAACTTTCATGTCATGTATTAATTAATATTAATTATATTTGTAATTATACAACTATAATGAAAATGCTGCAATTTAGTACTTAAAATATATTCACTTGTAATATCAAGTAACATTATAGTTAAAATTATAATCAAGTACTTTACTTGTGCTTTAGTACGTTAGTCAACACATCAAAATAAGTGTGCATGACAAAAGATTATTAAATCATGATGATTTATAATATACTTTAAAGTAAAGCTTTTAATTTGACAACATTACAAAGTACACTTTTTTAAAGTGTATTCAAGTGTTCAGAAACAGACATGAAAGTGTACTGTATGTACACTTTAGTAGACATTTATTTCATTAATATTCTGCAAGTACACTTAAAAAAAACTTATTTTAAGCACACTTTTTTTTTTTTACAAGCAATGATTTGTTCTTTTTTCTTTCTTTTATTTCCTTCATTAGATCTATTTTCCCAACTTTATTCCTCATTATTTTCTACTTCTGCTGCTTGTTTCATTCTTCTGTTCCTTCTTTTTTCTTTCTTTCCTGCTTTCCATGTTTTTTTGTCTTTCTTTCCTTCTGTCTTAGTAGTTCCTCACTGTAGTAACACACTGACAGTGATGTATCAGTAGATATACAGTCATGAAATCAGAGATCCTCTCTTTGAAATCCAATCGCAACATTCTATCCAGAGTAAAATCTCGTCTGACCTCTAGTGATCAGATCACCCGAGACAGGTAATATCCGGGCCTAAGTGAAACAAACTAGCAGAGGAACTCTTTAGTTTTCTGGGAGAGGGAAGATGATGTGTGTGCTTGACAAAGAGCTCACAAAAACAGTCGTGAGAACAGATGAAGTTTGTACCTGTGGTCCAAGAAGAGGAATTTCCACTCTAAACTGTGTCTGGAGGTGAATTCCTCATTGGGCTCCTCCACAGTACACATTTCCTGTCGAGCAGAGGTTATAAACAAGACCGTTCTTACACTTCTAGCAGACAAAAAACGAAAACAGAAACCAAGTGACCTACTTCTCACACGGAGTGCTTTGCATGCTGGTCATTTATCAGTGTCTTCAAAAACAAAGGCAATTCTTGCACAAACATGTACAGTGTCTATCAACACGCCCACACACATACATTCAAACTGATGAATATGTACATAACAGATCTGAGTGAAGTTGTCACTGTCTGTAAGGCAAATATTAGAAGTCACAGGACCAATGAGAAGGTGCCAAGTCGGCTTTGGCTCAACCTACCTTGATAAACTGAGGCTTGGCTAACCTCACAGTTGCTATGAAACACACTCGGTCTTCAAACATGGGCCTCAGCGATCGCTGGATCACTCCCTCAAAGCCGTTACGTGTTGAGTTAGGCACTACAGAGGAAAATACAAGCAAATCTTCATGAATGGAAGTGTTTTGAGAGAAATGCTAAACAATAAGCATATTTTCTTTAGCCTACCACTAGGGTGCAGCACCTGCGAGTAAACGTCAAATGCTAAACATTAATTCAGAAATAAGAAACTCTTTTGTATCTAAAACAGTAAGTTTCTGCGGTGCCCATTTTAAGATATAGTTTGTCTTTTGACAAAAATGTTCAATTCAATTCAAGTTTATTTGTATAGCGCTTTTCCCGATACAAATCGTTGCAAAGCAAATCAAGTTTCTACAATATTTAGTAGTAGCTTATCAGTGGTGACTGTCAGTTAATGTACATATGGCAGAAATGTACAGAAAAATCAATTAAAGACGTAATCAAACAGACGATGAACACTATTAACAGCAATTATTATGTGATGCAATCAAACTTATAGCAAAATGTGGTAGATACTATAAGATTGGTAATTATTTTAAAATGCTTTAAAATGTTGAAATTTTTTTTTACATTTAGTCAATATTTTGTTCAGTGTCATATTCATTCATTTTAGTTCAATTTACTCACTAATATTAATATTAAATGAAAATTGAATATGATCATTATTCTTTGTATTATTATTAAGAGGAATTAAAAGTGACAGTGATTAAAAGTGATAGTAAACATTTATACCGATAAGAAAATGTGTTAATAATGTTAACAAAATTAAAACAAAAAAGCAAAAATATTACGTTTTCAACACTGATAATAATAAATGTATTAAGCACCAAACCAGCGAATTAGAATGATTTCTGAAGGATCATAAATAATCTACAAAAATAGTATTAAAAAAATAGTTCATGCAAAAATTTGCAAAAGGACGAAAATGTATCAAACGATTACAAATTAAACTTTTCCACCATTAAACATTTATTAGTAAACTTTAAGCATTTAAAGGATTTAATAACCTGAACTCCTGCAATAGAATATAATGAATATCCTTATGTATTATCTATTTTAATTAAAGTGGTTTAATCATCATCAGTCTTTTTTCATCTCATCTAATCTTTATTATTGCTGAAATAATAATAATAATAAATTAAAACATTTCCTGTATTTATTTTATACATTATTAATTATTCCATATTATTTAAAGGTGATGTTTAAATACTCCCCCATCAACTGCTGTATAATTAAGTCTATATGTAGGTCAATTCCCTGGAAAAGTGTAAACACAGCGGCTATGTAGAGAAAAACATCACTCTGTTTGTTTGATCATTCCAACCAACATTGGCTCCACCAATGGTGGGAATTTGGGGTGGGAATATCTATTTGTATAAACAAAGGCTGTTTGAAAACCATCACTCATTATTTTTACAATAACGTTTACTGAAGCCCGTCAAATTACACACTTCACCTTAAGCCAAAAACGGTCAACTTTCCATCTCAAAATCTGTGTCAGAAGCCTGTTTCTCTGGCAAACTGGCTTTTTGCAACACTTCCTATTCAAATAATGATCCTTGCTCATCTACTCTCACATAAGAAGCGCAAGCAAGCAAGCACTTGGCTAGGTAATTCAATAAATGGATCCATATGAAAGACTCGGCTGATGCTGCAGGCACTCGTTCTGACACTCACCAGTGTTGAGGGACTTAAAGTTTCCGATGAACTTGACATACTCATAAACGGGCGGCTCTTTCGGGTCGATCGTGCCCCGGAGCATGTGGCAACAGAACTCTAACTGGTTCTTTGCTGCAGGGAAGCAAACAAAACAAAACAAAAACAAGAAAACTGAATTAATGAGCTCTATTCTAGTGATCTGTGCTCAAAGAAATGAGACAATGAAAGAGAGAGAGAGAGAGAGAGAGAGACCAGAAGAAACCAATTTTTTGGTCATGAGAAGATGAGAAACATGTAAACACAGCATGTATGAGTGATTCTTACTTTTTAGGTAGTCTGGGGTGAGGGTCTCTCCCTCCAGCATGTGTGTGGACAGGGCTTTATACACCTCTGAGTGCTCACCCAGTGGAAGGAAATTCAACAGATTCTGATCCACAAGATCAGACTGAAAACACAAAAACAGACATCGTCAGTATCACTCGTACTCACACAGTAGAGCTGTTCACATGAATAGCTGGAGGCTGCAGGGTTGTTGTAACAGATACATGGATGCCGTATCAGCCACTGTATTCATAACTGTATTGTGATACTGCTCATTAGCATACGGCTGTCACTTAGTCAGCGGTCACTGACGCTCAATCCACTCTCACTGAAAATGAATTATGTTCGGTTGCTTTGTAGCTGCAAACTGCTGTCAGTGTGCTTGGGTTAGGAGGTTAGGACCAGTTGTCCACACAAATAGTAGCTTAGCAATATCATCAAATTCATTTAGATTTAATATTTGCTTTAATATTTTTAGAAGCTGATGAATTTAGAGACCTAACTTCTAACATGAAGTGAATTGGAGGATGTTTCTGTCACACTATTGTTCTGAAAAGTTGTGCAACCATTCAAAAGTTTGGATTAGTATGATTTTTTTTTTTTTTTAAAGAAATACATTTTTTATTGATCAACGATGCATTAAATGAATCAACAGTGACAATAAAGCACTCAAAACGTTGCAAGTTCTTTTGAATTTTCTATTCAGCAAAGAATCCTGAAAAAATGTAGCACCGTTTCTACAAAAATATTAAGCTGCTCAACTATTTTCAGCATTGATAATAATAAAAAAATGTTTCTTGAGCACCAAATCAGCATATTAGAACGATTTAGAGTAATGGCTGCTGAAAATTCAGCTTTGCCATCTCAGGAATAAACACATTTGAAAATAAATTAATGATTAACAAATAAATTAATGATTAACAAATTATTTTAAATTGTAATATTTCACCAAATTACTGATTTTACTGATATTTTGATGAAATAAATGCTGTGCGTTCATACTCACAGGTAGATGTTCTAATAAAGACGTGACACTTTCTGAGACGTAGATTATGTTTCCGTCTGTCATGATGGCTAAAAAGAAGCCATCTAGTGCCTAAAAAATAGAGCAAATTAAGAATATCAATAGTTCTGTAGTTTTAGTGTTTACTGAATGAATGAATAAGTAGGGGGTTTAGGCAAGTGTGTATGCATGTTTGTGTCAGTGAGAGTAAATCCTCACCTCCAGCATCAGCTGTGTGAACTCCTCATTGCTAAGGAAGGGCGGCTTCCAGTCCTGACGGATTTCACTCGACTCCGACTGTGCGGCAATTTCTGAGGGAAAGAAAATACAAACAATAAGGTTTCGGTTTTAAATACAGGACAAAGAACTAAAACATCCAAACTTTATTTCATCAGGTTATTAAAGGGGTGGCTGATTGCGATTTCACTTTTTTAATGTTAGTTATTGTGTAATGTTGCTGTTTGAGCATAAACAATATCTGCAAAGCTACGAAGCTGAAAGTTCAATGCAAACGGAGATATCGTCTTTTAAAATTCTGGCAGTTTAATGCCTACAAAAACGACTGGTAAGGGACTACAATGAGTTACTTCCCGGGTCCGTTACGTCAAGAACCCAGAATTTTACAAAAACCCCGCCTCCGGGAATACGCAGCAAAGGGGGCGAGGCCATGCTGCGCTGCTTCAGAGAAGAGGAAGAGAAAACTAGAGGTGCACGTAAAAATCTATTTATATATGAATCGCGATTCTGTCTTCTAACGATTCTAATGGATTCATAGGTTTCAAAATCAATGTTCTAAAGCAGCGGTTTTCATCCTGTTCCTCGCGTCGCCCTGCTCTGCACACGCTCTGCATCTCTCTCTCTCTCTCTCATTCAGATCATCTGCTCAGTGAATACACTTATTTTCACATACTATAGCTATGAGAAGCGTGCGGTTGCCGAACTGTATTAAAGCTTTCATCAGAATAAAACCATATATTAAAAGCTAACAGAAGCAGTAGCATTTACAAATAACAGCGTATCTAAAAGTATGAGACAACAACAAACAAAAATCTTAGGCCTACCATTTAAAGCCATGCTTGCACAGGTTCTGCGCAATCCTCTTCACTAATATCCTCTGCGTCTCAATCGGGCTCAAACTGATAAGCACAATAGACGACGCCATTGTTTACAATACAACCGGAGCACATGCCGCTGAGCTGAGGGGCGGGATGTTTAGACCCGCACTAGAGGCGGTTTAGCCAATCACAACACACTGGGCCAGCTAACCAATCAGAGCCCATCGTGTATTTCTGAGGGAGGGGCTTCATAAAAGCAGGAAATGATCAGTGCGTTCAGAGGAGACGGGACAGAGCAGTGTGGAATAAAGGTAAAATAATGCGTTTTTTAACAAACGAAGCATTATCACATGTTAGACTGCACCCATAAACACAATCAAGCCTAGAAAAAATGTTTTATTAATTATAAATGTTTACTTGTATATAAAAAAATAGAACATAATTATGAACTTTGTAATATCAGCTGCCTAAAACATTAGTTTTCAAATGATAAATGTTAGTTTATTAACATTTATTTTAAGGGGTTAGTTTACCTAAAAATGAAAATTAGCCCATAAATTACTCACCCTCAAGGCATCCTAGGTGTATATGACTTTCGTCTTTCAGACGATTCAAGTCGGAGTTATAATAAAAATTGTCTTTGATCTTTCAAGCTGTTTAATGCCACTCAGCGGGTGTTGCAGTGCAGCTCATGAACTCATACGTCATCCGCCCGGAGCTGCTTCAGTGTTCCAACAGTGAGCGCAAGCTAGATTAAATTGATTATTACATTTTAAATATGGTTATTTTTCTTACAAAAATGCATCGATTCGCTACAGGAGGCCTTTGTTCACCCCCCCCCCCCCCCACCGCCACCGTGCTCAGGAAACTTTGCTTCCTTTGATCCTGTAAACAAACATTGGTTTTCAAGAGACTCACCGGTGCATGCACAACGCTGAACTCATACGTCATCCACCCAGAGCTGCTTCTGTGTACAACTGTTGGCGCAAGCTACATTAAAATGATTATTACATTTTGAATATGTATATTTTTCTTACAAAAATGCATTGATTCGCTACAGGAGGCCTTTGTTCACCCCCCGGAGCCGTGTGAGACAGTTTTTTAATGGATGGGTGCTTTTTATTTAACTTCTTTTGGACTGATGAACTGCAACACCCGCTGAGTGGCATTAAATAGCTTGAAAGATCAAAGACAATTTTTAATATAACTCCAACTGGATTCGTCTGAAAGAAGAAAGTCATATACACCTAGGATGCCTTGAAGGGGAGTAATTTATGGGCTAATTTTCATTTTTGGGTGAACTAACCCTTTAATATTATCACTTTTACCTTTTTAATATATTTTATAATATTTTAGATGTTTTTAGCACTGCACCAATCTCTGTCTAGCACACACACCACTTTTAGAAAATGCATCATCCACAAAAAAAAAAAAGTCAAATGGAATCTGTTCAGAACCGTTCTTAATTTATATTTTTGTGTTGTCTGTACAATCTTTTGTGAAGGCTGTTTTACTAATAGTTGAAAGAGCTACCACCTTGTTGTCTACTATTGTCTTATACATTTCAGAAATACCCACTCCTCTATGTTGAGTGAAAAAAGCAAGCCATGGTGGAGGTTTAACATGTCATTGTGTGTCATCAGATGGCTCCTTCCTGTCTAAGTGGGCGGTTCTTGGCTAGAATTCATCAATAGTAAATAGTCTGGCTTGTGAAATAAACTTAAGTCACAGAAACCATTATTGACTGAAAATATAAAATAAATTAATAAATTAATTTAAATGAAAAAAAGCATTTTCTCTGTAATTGATTAGTATTCTGTAGTATTTAAATGCATATTATTGCTCCAATTTAGTTAACTAAGTTTTTCCCCCCCAAAGTTTCCTTTTAGGCAATGAAAATATTAAATTTACTTTTTCAAATGATTACTGGTTTAAAACGCACAACAAATTTGGTTGCAATTAATTGGTATGGCATTACAGTAACCTTTGTGCTTGCGCAGGAAGTCGATGCTCTTCTGTAGGATGGTAGACTTGTCCATCTTGCGGGTGTTGCCCGGCAACATGGTGCCCAGTTCCTTGATGAGCACATTGAACTGGTCTCGCCTCTTCTTTTCCGACTTGTTCCTAGAAACTCTGTAGGTGGAAAAATAAGAGGTGGAAAATTCCAGTGGAAATCAATTGCTGACTTAAAGATAAGAACATAATAACAATTTCGTCTTCTTTCAGAAGTCTCAGTTAAGCACTAAAATACACGTCAACTCTTAATTATCTTAAATTCTACAGTTTACTGAATGATAAAGGGATGCTATCTAATCTGAGAAAAATCTAGCAATGCTGAGGGAAACCATTTCACGGTTCTGTGACTGTATACAGAAGATGAGGGTGAAGCTGTGCACTCAGGTTTAAACAGTCATAACTAGGTCACACTTAACTGGTCTCGCCTCTTCTTTTCCGACTTGTTCCTAGAAACTCTGTAGGTGGAAAAATAAGAGGTGGAAAATTCCAGTGGAAATCAATTGCTGACTTAAAGATAAGAACATAATAACAATTTTGTCTTCTTTCAGAAGTCTCAGTTAAGCACTAAAATACACGTCAACTCTTAATTATCTTAAATTCTACAGTTTACTCCTCAAAATGATAAAGGGATGCTATCTAATCTGAGAAAAATCTAGCAATGCTGAGGGAAACCATTTCACGGTTCTGTGACTGTATACAGAAGATGAGGGTGAAGCTGTGCACTCAGGTTTAAACAGTCATAACTAGGTCACACTTAAGTTTCTATTCCTGGTGCAAAACCACTTTATATATACTACCATGAAAAAGGACCTGTCTATACAATCCTCTGGTGTAATGAATCATGTTTAAACCACTCTTGCATGAGATAATGGAATAAAGGCTTGGCTCATAATAGGAGTTCGGCTCGAGGTAAGAAAAAGGAAATTCCCATTCAGGAATCATTATAATTATCGTAATGTTTTGTTTGTCTAATCACCTTTTTGCTTTGTCCTTCTCATCTTCTTCCATCAACCCATCAAAGATGCTGCTGTCATCCCTGAAAAGAAACCCATAGTAAAAGAGGTTAGACCAGCTTGACCAATGTGAGCTCTACCCAGCTGTGTGACCGGCCAATTAAAGACAGCTTCATTCCTCACCCATTCCAGTGTTTGTGATCATAACAGCATTCAGCGTGCTAAAATATTAATATTTGAGGCTGAACCAGCTATTTAAAGGGATTGTCTCTCGAAAATTTATAATAAGGGACTGAAGCTTTCAAGCTTCAAACAGGACACAGTAAGTCTGAAGTCATACATTCGATAGCTTTGTGAGAGGAACAGACCGAAGTTTAAATATTCGCTAATAGTTCATCTTCAGGGCAGTGTTATTTTAGTATAATTTAGATATTATTACGGTTTTATTCATATTTGAAAATTTATAATAAGGGACTGAAGCTTTCAAGCTTCAAACAGGACACAGTAAGTCTGAAGTCATACATTCAATAGCTTTGTGAGAGGAACAGACCGAAGTTTAAATATTCGCTAATAGTTCATCTTCAGGGCAGTGTTATTTTAGTATAATTTAGATATTATTACGGTTTTATTCATATTTCGATTAGTTTTTTTGTTTGTTTATTTTCAATTTAATAATTTTAATAATTTTCTTTTTAAACTTTAACCAATTTTGTTGTGTATTTTTCATTTTTCTTAGTTTTTATTTCAGTCTGACGTTTGTACTTATTTAGTGTATCAATTTCAACTAAATAAAAATGACAAATGCTGTTTGGAATAAAAATAGCTGAGATTTCATTTTTATATTTCAGGTAACATTTATATAATTTTATTGTTTTATTTTAAGCAACTTTTCATAAAGACATCGTAAAACTAATCCACATCGAGCGCTTTAATCCAATTCTTCTGAAGAGACATGATGACTTCATATGATGAACATTTTTAATTTAGGCTTTCATTTACACGGAACAAAATTATAAACGCAACACTTTTGTTTTTGCCCCCATTTTTCATGAGCTAAACTCAAAAGATCTAAGACTTTTTCTATGTACACAAAAGGCCTATTTCTCTCAAATAGTGTTCACTAATCTGTCTAAATCTGTGTTAGTGAGCACTTCTCCTTTGCCGAGATAATCCATCCACCTCACAGGTTTGGCACATCAAGATGCTGATTAGACAGCATGATTAGGCCCTTTCGCACCGCTTTAGTTCCAGAACTAAATGTACGGTACTAAAGTACTGGGACGATTTTGCGCGAACTATTTCCCAGTACCATTTAAAGGGTTGCATTCGCACCGACAGTGTGTACTAGGAACCGGTCTACAGCGACGTAATTTGTGCGCGGCGTTCAACAACTAAAACGAAGATAAATTGAGATTTCATTTTTATATTTCAGGTAACATTTATATAATTTTATTTTAAGCAACTTTTCATAAAGACATCGTAAAACTAATCCACATCGAGCGCTTTAATCCAATTCTTCTGAAGAGACATGATGACTTCATATGATGAACATTTTTAATTTAAACAAAATTATAAACGCAACACTTTTGTTTTTGCCCCCATTTTTCATGAGCTGAACTCAAAGATCTAAGACTTTTTCTATGTACACAAAAGGCCTATTTTTCTCAAATATTGTTCACAAATCTGTCTAAATCTGTGTTAGTGAGCACTTCTCCTTTGCCGAGATAATCCATCCACCTCACAGGTTTGGCACATCAAGATGCTGATTAGACAGCATGATTAGGCCCTTTCGCACCGCTTTAGTTCCAGAACTAAATGTACGGTACTAAAGTACTGGGACGATTTTGCGCGAACTATTTCCCAGTACCATTTAAAGGGTTGCATTCGCACCGACAGTGTGTACTAGGAACCGGTCTACAGCGACGTAATTTGTGCGCGGCGTTCAACAACTAAAACGAAGATAAACAACATTAACAACATGAGGCTGGAGGACGCTGTGATCGGAGCTGTGTTTTTGTTGTGTCTCCAACTACCAGTAATTCCTAAATCAAATATTGTTGGAACATGAATTGACCTTTCTGTCCATATTCATTGTAATTGCATGGAAAGGAGCGATTCAAACAATCTCCAACATTTTGTGTTTCACTGAAGAAAAACAAGCATACAGGTTTGGAATGACATAAGGGTGAGTAAATGACTGAGAAAATATAAAAATGACTAAACCAAGAAAATGTGCAAGCCTTTTCTTTTGACACCCCACGATATTGAATCATAATCAGGTCATGCAATAAATCATTGATTAAACAGGCAGTATGTCAGTGGTGGAGGTGGCAGTGAGAGGTGGATATAAAGGCCTGTAGGGGCGCTGTGTGTATCAGTATCTATTTAGATAGATACCCAGTGTTCTTTGACTCAGTTGCTTTGAGAGCACAAGATCTGAAATCAGTTTGTAACGGTCGTGATTGGGGTTTGATTTCATGACTGATGTCATAGCAGCTTCTCAGCTCCAAAGAAGTATGGGTTCGGAATGAATGAGATTGAGTAAATGACCGTTTTAATTTCTGGATGATCTCTTTAAGGTCATCTCAACACGACATGACAATCACTCAGTCTATTTTAGCCATGAGATAATTGGTCTTTTGCACAGAGTGTACAAATGTGCATCTGTCTCTGGAACCGCAGAGATCACAATGACCTTTCATTTAGTGCGTGCAAATATGTGATGCGTGCGCACACGACTGAATGAGTGTTTTCATGTGTGCGAGACGAGATGCAAGTCAACCGTATGAAACGTGTATTTGCAAAGTTGCGAGATTAATAAGTGCAAACAACAGGCTGGGTAAATAAAACAGTGCATGTGGCTCTGCCACTGGGTGTCAATTACCACCATTTTTACATTAACAATTCAGAGCTTTCCTCAATCCATTTGCATCAAGGGTTGTGGGTGTGTGACTATGTGTTTGCATAAGGAAGCACCCACTGCTCTAATAATGCCATATTATATGGTTGATGTTATTGCTGCATGTGGGAAAACTGCATTTTAAATTAAGAACGTACATACAACATGCAGTGTTACAGGAAAAGGAAAAAGAAAATAATGTTTAACATCTATTACTGAGTTTAAAAAACTACATTGACGTCAACTGATTTGGCTGCCAAACAAAAAGATATTTATATCTGCTCTGTGAAATTCAAAGCCATCTGCTTGAAATGGTAGGCGCATACAATATGAGGTAAGATTAGATTTCATAATTTAATTAGGACAGATAAGAGAAAAAGAGTCGGAAATTGTCATTATAGTTCATATTTCCTTAATTTCATTTTGTCCTTAAAAAAAGCCATTAGCCATTAGGCTTTAGTTTACACTAGTTTGGGATTTTTTTTTCTTTAATCTCACTTGTGCGCATCAAGTCTTTATTTGATAAAAAATACATTAAAAACAAAAACAGTAATATAAAAAAATATATCATTACAATTTTAAAATGTAACATTTTAATTTGTTTTAAAATGTAATTTATTCCTGTGATGGTAAAGCTGAATTTTCAGCACCATTACTCCAGTCTTCAGTGTCATATGATCCTTCAGAAATCATTCCAATATGCTGATTTGCTGCTCAAGAAACATTTCTTGCTGTCAGACTTTTATTTTTATTTTAACAGGATTCTTCGATTAATAGAAAATTCAAACAGCATTTACTTGAAATAAAATTATTTTGTAACATTATAAAATGCATGACACGCCCATGAGTGCAAAAGATCAAAATGCATGAGTCATCAATATTTTTTTGTGCATTTTGCTAGTAGAGAAAGACTGTCCATTATATATTAGATGCCAACTTTTAGGAGTACGCTAGCAAACAGATAGGCTACCAATTCATTCGTCAAAATCAGAAAACATGACATATTCACTGAACATAACATGCATTTAGTACATTTTCCAGCCTTAGAGCCAGAATACCATCATGAATGCTTTGGTTGCATATTAAGCCTCACACTCAACTTTCAACATCATTCGCCTCCAAATGAGTCATTGCATCTGCCACTACAGCCTCGTGCATAACACGCTGCCAGCATTAGAGCATGCGTATCGGCTTACGACTCTGAATGACCCCATTCCACACCTGTTTTTAAGCTTAAAGTTGCTGCATAAAAGACCCTCCACACAGCGACGGCACACACATTAAAGTGAGAGGAGTGCTGTAATTGTTTTGAAGACACAAACAAGTCAATTAGTCACTGCACACTCATAGTGCAGCATTTTCGTTCTCACAATCTAGCATCCACCTGACTGCTTTACAAACGATTCGTTTTGAAAATGCAGTTCATTTCAGTATACTTAAATGGGGCTTGTTTGAACAATTAGAAGCAGAAATATGTGATGACCTACATTTATACTACAAAAACAATGCAGTGCTTGTGTATTAACATTTGACGATTCTCTCCCCGACACACGCACATAGAGGATGTGGATGGCTGATCATTAACTTTAATGGTGTTTGTGTTGTGTGTGAGAGAGAGAGAGAGAGAGAGAGAGACTGTTTTTGTCACTAGTCCACTATCTTCCTGACTCCTGTAAGACAAACAAACCAACAGTACGAGCACAACAATGCAATAAAGATGTTTCAGAGGACAGTACTGATCACTAAGCATACACAGAGGCTCAATGTGTGCTGAATTAACCATGATGTTTATTATCAAATGTAAAGTTTGCTGAGGATCATTAAAAAGAAGAGTATATCTTATAGAAAGGTATCAATTACTGGCATTGGCAAATATCAAGAGCCAATATTTGGAGTAGAACCCAAAAAAGGAAAAAAATATTTCAGTGTCTGCCACAAAGTACACTTTGCTAAACCAATACAGGAAAAGTGGGACCGTTCCTGATAATCTATCATTGCCATTGTATTGTCATACTCATTCAGAAAAAATGTAATGGAATAGTTTACCCAAAAATGAAAACTGTCATCATTTACAAACCAATTAATACTTTTATTCACCAAGAAAGCATTTAATTGATCAAAACTGATGGTAAAGTCATTTATAATGTCATTTACAAAAAACTTAGAAAATTAAATAAATCTATCACGGTTTCCACAATAATATTAAGCAGCACAAGTGTTTTCAACATTGATGATAAGAAAAGTTTCTTGAGCAGCAAATCAGCATATTAGAATTATTTCTGAAGGATCATGTGACACCGAAGACTCTAGTAATGATGCTGAAAATTCAGCTTTGTCATAACAGAAATAAATAATTTAAAATGTATTAAAATAGAAAATAGTTATTTTAAATTGTAATAATATTTCACATTAGTATAATATACACTTCTGCTTTTACTGTATTATTTTTTTTAAATCAAATTAATGCAGACTTGGTGAGCATAAAAGACTTATTTCAAAAACTGAACTGAATTTTTGAACAGCAGTGTACTCACCCTCATGAGGTTCCAAACCTGTACAACTTACTTTCTTCTGCGGAACACAAAATAATATATTTCTTGAAAAATATCCCCATATTTTTTGTCTATACAAGGAAAGTCCAATGTTGACTTTTGGACCCCACTGAATTTTACTTTATGGACAAACGAATTTAAACCTTTGTCAAAATATCTTCTTTAGTGTTCCACAAAATAAAGAAACTCATATACAGTGGGTACGGAAAGTATTCAGACCCCCTTCAATTTTTCACTCTTTGTTATATTGCAGCCATTAGCTAAAATCATTTAAGTAAATTTTTTTTCCTCATTAATGTACACACAGCACCCCATATTGACAGAAAAACACAGAATTGTTGACATTTTTGCAGATTTATTAAAAAAAGAAAAACTGAAATATCACTATAAGGGGGTCTGAATACTTTCCGTACCCACTGTAGGTATGAAATAATGCATGTCTGTAAGCAATGTACACATAATTCCCAAGAAAGCTTAAGTGTCCCACTTTATCTGTTTTCAACCTAATTGTTTAAACTTTTATTCAAGCAGCCCAGTTTTTTAAGCAGCCCAGAACTGTTCAACACGCATTTGACCTAGATTTGCTCAATGAAATGTTTATCAGTGAAAATCAGAGATGTGGACTTGAGACTCCTGACTTTTACTCAAGTCACAATGTTGACGTCTTATTGCTTGGCAAGCCTTATATTTAAGACTAACATTTGCCAGTTTTGACAATTAGTTTTGAAGACTGAACTTCACCCAAGTTGCTGTCAGACAGTGTTTGGAAAGTGTCAAATATGTGTGCGGGGGGAAAATATCAGATATGACAATTCAAAACATCATTAACTACATCAGACATCCGAAAGAACATTGTCAATGTCTGAACAAATTTGGTTGTAAAAACAAGAAAAGATGTGATAACTTCATAATGCTGGAATGTACAGCAACGAGCCCAATGGATATTTAACAATGCGGAGACTAAGTTTTGAGTTTTTAGCTAAATTTAATCTCATATGTGTTGCTCCACTGACATTGTTTTACTTGCACATATTTATAATTTAGCATATTTTAATACTTAAACCTGACATGAAACAAAATAATTTTCCATCATAACTAAGAATTAATGACAGTTTAAACCAGAAAACCTTGACTAAACAAACTGTGACACGTCCCGAAGTCAGGCAGAAATGTAGACATAAAGGTTAAAATGGCTTTGTAGACATTAACAAAGGTAATTGTGATGATAGATGTCACTGCATGGTGAAGTCTAAATGTATCTGTTTTTACTTTGGCTTAACTGTACAGCAGGTAAGACCAGTCTCATCACTTCAGGAGGCGAGGATGAGAGCACATTATAAAAAAAAGTCATTACAAACTTGGTTTGAACTTCAACTAAAAGTGCTATTATGAAAATTAAAGATTTACCATAATTAAAGAAAGTATTAGAGTTCAAATTGGGTACGTTTTTGTATCCTTCTCAGTTCTGAGATGAGAAACTAATAAAGAATATTTAATTATGAATTTTAAAAAAGTAACATCCAATAACACTGCTTTTCTAATAGCGGGGGAACCATATAATGCTCAAAATTCAAAATACTGGATATTTGGATTTGAAAACCAGTAAATACCAGTGTTACATTTATACAATACATTTATTGTGTCTCTGACATCAAAATAATAATCAGTAATGTGTAGAATACATTTGTAATTCCTACATAATAAACTACATACAGTTTATTTCATATGTAATTATTTCCTGCAGCAGCCTATACTGTACATTTTTATTAATAGTTCTGCGGTAATTACATGAATATTTAATACAGACACTAGTAGATGAGAAAACAAAAAAACAAGTACTTCTAACCCCACATCAGAGGTATGGAGCTTCATTTTCAACTTCAGACTTTTTTTTACTCAAATCAATCAACACAAACTGTGCTTTGTAGAAAAACACAGACGTTGTTCTGACAACATAATGAATGCAATGCAGCATAAACTACTGTATAAAACAGTCTGTCTACTACAATGGCTATTCTGAAATTTGTACAAGTTAAAATGACATTGCAATGCATTAGAAATCGCCCCGTGTTCTGTCTAGCTATGTTTGACTGTGTCCTGAAATGCCTTTATCTTAAAAAGATAAAGAATTCACTGAATAAGGTAAGAGAATACAGATTGTGCAAGCACCATATGGTCCCTGTTTTCGACTGTAGGTGCCATCTTCAGTTACTTCACCTAGAAACCTTTGAGAGAGGAAAATGGAGCTGCTAAATCTATTCAGCGTGGTAGTAATCCAGAGATTAGCATGAAAATTTCCACACTGCCGCCACACAATGGCCCATCTCACTGTCACTCAACAGGCCAGACCAGTTAGAAAGAAGCCGGGCACATTGAGGCTGGCCAGAGTGGGCATGTTTAATGTCATTCCATTCACTGTAGTCACTATAGCAACTGGCCATGGGTGTGTTACATTTGCATATTAGAGGGAAGGAAAGCTGTTTACGAACATGGTTATTAAGATTGTTTAATATCAGCCGTCCATCTCAGCTGCAAAGCTTTCTGTGCATCTGCTGTAACTGTAACCATGGCTACGGTGTTGGGCAAAGGATGCTGTCATGAGGGTTTCAAATGAACTCGGAATATCATTGAACAAAAAAAAAAAAAAAAAACTGTTGAAAATAATAATGTGGAGATTTTTATTATTGTTGTACTGTGCTTTTCTAATATGTGTTGGAGATTGCGGCTACAGTTAACAGAATCCATTCTACACAGGACGGTTTGGGGGTCAACCGAGGACTTACCGGTCTATGCTGGAGGTCATTTTTGTAGTGTGTTCAGGGTCGCAGTAAGATGATATTTAAATGCTCAAACCTCTACAGTTTTAATTGTTCTTCAAAAGCTTCTTGTATCATATTTTGTATATTTTATACTCACATTTTAACATGATTTTTCGAGAGAAAAAAAAAGAGAAAAAAAACATTAAGTATGGATAATCAAGTAAACTTAAGTTGCTTCAATGGAGCAAGTGTTCATTTTGAAATATTGCTAATATAAAAGTTATTCTTACATTAAAAATAAAAGATGTAGTCATTTTTAAGACAACTGAATTGTAATGTATGAAATAATTTGGGAAGTAATAAACTCACTCATGTCATTATTTCTGTAATAGCAGCAATACTCCTGAACCACTGTAAATCTGCTCTAAAATCTGAAACACAAACAGAAATTAGTCACATAAAAAGCTGGCTGCAGAGAAAATGCTTCAATTACATTAGAGGAAATAATAATATTTTAGCTTAACTGGTACTAAGGAGATTATAACCAAATGAAAATAAAACAAAAACATCTGAATTCATAAAAGTAGGTGTTCAGGTTTCAAGATAAAAACATCACTTTGACCTAGTAAGCCTGAGAAGGGTCATGACCTTAATGTTAAAGACCCTAAAATCATCTTGGTAAACATTCTGCAAAGAAAAAAAAACGCTCTGCTATACCCAAAATGATGGCTTAATTGAAGCTTAACATCTTACCCTAGAACTAACAGTTCTGTCCATCCAAAAATAAACTATTCAGCCTACTACTAGATCTTTTACAAGGCCGCAGCTGTTGTGATGTACTGCCAAGCCTGACAGA